AGCACTTCTGACCAGAGAACAGTAAATGTGGAGGAAGAGAGTATTTGAGAAGAGAAACATACAGGGGTCAGATTATAAAGGGCTTTGTGGATCATGGTAAGAAATATGGATTTTACTCCAAGTGCAGTGAGAATGCACTGCACAGAGACAAAAAAGGAAGCAGAAGGACCTATTAGGAGATTATAGCGATAGTCCAAATGAGAGCTCTAGCAGCTTCAACTGTAATAGTGAAGAGTGGCGAGAAACAATTGGATTCAGGATGCATTTCAGAGGTAGAGTCATTAAGATTTATAGGCGACTGGATGAGGAAAGTGGGGTGTAGAAGGTAAAAGGAGGAATCAAGAATTACTCTGGCTGTCTGAATAAATGAGTAAATTGTGCCCTTTACTGAGCTGGTAAAGACCTAAGAAGGAACAGGTTTGTTGTTTGGTAGTGGTGGGGGAGAGGAAATTAACTACTCTTCCTGATTATATTGTTTTAGATGGCTACTAGAAATAGGAAATTAAATGCTAAATATTATAGGCTGGAAATATAATTTGGAAAGTCAGTAGCTTAAGGATGGCACTGGATAAGACCACCTGGGGAAAGGAGGGAGAGATGAAACGTGGTCTACCTTGCCTCCTTGACAGCAAGGCCTTCCCATGACCAACTTCTTTTAAAACACCTCCAGCATTTACTATTCCCCTCCCTTGTTTCTCTTTAAAACTTAACACTTTAGGGGCTTCTGTGGTGGCGCAATGTTTAAGAATCCGGGTTTGATGTATAACTGACTCACTCTGTTATAAAGCAGAAACTAACACACCATTGTAAAGCAATTATACCCCAATAAAGATGTTAAAAAAAAAGAATCCGGGTTTGAGCCCTGGGCCGGGAAGATCCCACATGCCACGGACCAACTAAGCCCGTGCGCCACAGCTACTGAGCCCGCGCTCTAGAGCCCGCAAGCCACAACTACTGAACCCACAGGCTGCAACTACTGAATCCCGTGCACCTAGAGCCTGTGCTCCACAAGAGAAGCCACCGCAGTGAGAAGCCCGCGCACTGCAACAAAGAGCAGCCCCCGCTCACCGCAACTAGACAAAAGCCCGCACACAGCAACGAAGACCCAACGCAGCCAAAAATAAATAAATTTATTAAAAATAAACAAAAAAACCCCAAAAAACCCCTTAACACTTTAATATTCTATATACTTTTCATATTTAGTTTGTTGTCTCTCTGCACTTGAATGTCAGTTCTATACAGGCAGAAATTTTTATATCACGTTCACTGATGAATCCCCAACAACCTAGAACAGTGCACGGCACACAGTAGGCACTCAAATACTTTTAAATGAATGAAATACTGCTGAAATGTCAAACAGGATGAGGACAGGGAACTAACTGCTGACTTTTATAAGATATAGCTCAACAGTGACCTAGATAAGTGTCGTTTCAGTAGACTTTGAGGCTGAGAACTGAATCAAGGCAGCTGAGAAGAGAATGGAACTACAGACAATGGTTTCAGAGAGTTTTGCTGTACTGATAAAAAAAAAAAATGGGGCAATAGCCTAAGGAGACAGTGAGGTTCAAGGGATTTCCCCCCAAGCATTTCATCATAAAATTTTCAAACATACAAGAAAGTTGAAAGAAGTTCATAGTAAAAATCCATATATTTACCACTAAATTCTATAATTAACATTGTACTATACTTGCTTTTCACACATCAACTGATCCTCGATGTCCTGAGAGTGTTCATAAGGCATGTATGTATTTATGCCAATGAAAAGTATCCAATAAGGGAGAAAGATACAATTCAAGAGAGAAAGATAATAATTACAAAAGCAAAGAACTGAGGAGGGGACAGGATTCAAAGCACAAGTGGAGAGGATGGCCTTAGATAGACTCAGGCACCCTTGTGGTAGTTCACTGATAAAAATCCTTCAAAGTCTAACTTTTTTTTCCAGAAAGTTAAATATAAACTCTTCACTCTGGCAAGGACTTATCCAACAGAATTCCATTATATCCCACAACTTCCCTAAATATGCACTATATTCTGGCCAATTTGGACTATTACCTGCCCCACAAATACAATTTCACAAACCCCTGGACAAATACTCTTTATGCTTTGAGCCCAGCTCAAATGCCAACTCCTCTAGAAAACCTTTCCTAATCTTCACCTCTTCCTGCTCAAAACTCCCCAAATCAGATGTTGTATTTTTCTTGTTTAAAGTTTCATAAACAGTGTTATCTGGCTTTCTATTTCAATTACTGTGTCATTTTCTTATACTCCCTATACCTTCAGAGCAGGAGTTGTCTTAACCTACACATCTTCTTCTGCTCCTAACATTATATATAGGCAACAACCATTTATTTGCTGCATCTGAGTGGAAAACAAGAATGTTAAAATTTAAAATGAAAAATTTCTGCTACCCATAAAAAGCCCCAAGTTAGATTTTATTGAAAACAAACAAGGGACTTCCCTGGTGGTCCAGTGGTTAAGACTCCATGTTTCCAATGCAGGGGGTGAGGGTTCGATCCCTGGTTGGGAAACAGATCCCACATGCCATGTGGCGTGGCCAAAAAATTGAAAAAGTAAAAAAATTTAAAAATAAATAGATAAAAACAAACAAATGAGAACATGTCAAGTTTTGGCAGGTGGTGACAATAGAAAATTATTACAAAAAAGTATGACTAACTAAATTAAAGTATAACAGGAAATGAGCATGATGGGAAATTATCAATCAGTTTAACAAATTCTATCTGAATGTGCCAGTAGTTCTGTAAGATTTTAAAAAATGATGATCTACCAACAAGTGTTCAAATGAACATAAATAGAATATCATCCATTAAATCGGTCATGGATAAGTACTATATTGAGTTTGGGCCTTCATATAGCAAAAAGAATGTTAACACTTTAGGCAAAATTGAAAAATAAGTAAACCAGAAATTTCTGTTGTGGAGAGATGGTATTGAAGACACTGCTGAAATGATCCACACTGGCTTTACCCGGTTCTAAGCATAGTCTCTAGGATACCAGTGATTCTCTAGAGGGGAGCTGAGCTTCCAGGGCATGTGGATCTAGGGAGAGCAAGAGGATTTGTAAAGGCATTTTCACAATCACGTTAAGATATGTTGTTAATCACAAAAAGTATTTTTAAATTAGGAAAAGAAATAATATTATTTTGAAACTCGTTTGGCACTAGGTTAAACAAGTTCAAAACACCATTTTCACAGGATCTGGAATGGTAATGGGCATGTAGTTCAAGTGGACTAAATGATGTTCAAGAGTCTGCGCAGATACTCATTCCAAGTATTGCACTGTTTGGAGCTGTAAAATGTAACTGAGCAACCCTTCACATAATCACCGGTTAAAAGGTGAAAATCCGCTGGTGGTGGGCTCAGCAACTTCCCAATAAAAGAGTGGAGAAGGTTAGTTAGGGTAACAGTGCAGGAGTGATTCCAGTAATTATTTTTTCAATGTTTTCTGATAACAGAATAAAGTGAAAATGAGGAAATATATTACACAGAAGAGGCAAGGAAATCTTCAAATATGTGAATGCATCTAAGCTCAGGTATTCTTTCGCATATACTAAGTGCAAAAGAAAACCTTCAACAGCAGCTGTTTTTATAAGGCAACAGAAATTTCACAATAGTTTCACAGAAATTATATTCCAGATTTGGTGTGCAGGGAAAGCACACATTCAAGTGTCCTATTCATGTCTGTCAAGTAAATTGATTTACTGAGGCTAAGAAAGGAAAGCTGGGCTAAGAGAGCCAAACTGGAGACTCCAGATTTCAGAAGACTCTCAAGGTCACTATCCTTTTAGGCCCTACTCCACCTGCTCTGCTCATTACCCCACTGTTTCCCATCATGGAGCCAAAGGGAGCCTGGCCAGGCCCCAACTCCAGTTCAGACTCTGCCACTTACTGGGCAACTTTGGAAACTCATCTGGCCCCTCTGAACCTTAGTTTTCTCCACTGTAAAGTGGGGATCATAGCCATTTGTGAGGATTAAACAAAAAGAGCGGGGCCAGGAACTCAGGAATAAGCTCAACAAACGCGGCCATTTTCACAATATTCCTGCGAAGCTTCCTTGGATCCAAATGGTTGTTCGGGCTCCTTGGAACCAATGACTTCCTCCCGATCTCGCTCCCACTTAATCTTTTTGGATGAGAAAGGGAAGGGGATGGAGAGGAGAGGTGACCAAAGCTGATTAGAAGCCAAGCCCACAGGGTGGGGGGCAGGGTGGGGGTAGGTGAGGAGGGTCCAGGG